ACAATAACCTATTACATTATGTGAAAAATTGTTATTACATTTAAAAATTATATTATTACATTATGAGCTCAAGATTTTCTTACGTTTTGAGAAAATTATTACATTATGAACATTTTATTACAATAATAATGTAATACTTATTACATTATGTGCAGTTTTTACATTATGTGCAGTTTTTACATTATGTGCAGTTATTACATTATGAGTTGCTACACCCGTCCATGCAATGAATGCACGTTAAAGGAGCAGGTTTTTTTAGAAAAAAACCTGCTCAGGTAATTTCAGTGGTAGGCTATGATACATACTCATGTATTAAAATCCTCGTTAACTCGCAAACTCCCCGTGATAGTGCGCAAATATTTCTGCCCGTTTTCACTCGTTGTCAGCCTCTGGTTTTCTGCAACAGACTGAAGCCTCCGCGCGAATTCAGCGCGCCTTTCTTTCAGTTAATAAAAGAAAAATGCTGCAATTTTCTGGTGTTATTTTATGATTGTTGGGGCAATATCCAGCTGTATCTTAAACTTCTCGAAATACCGAAGTCCGCTTCAGATTGGTTTTAATCACTGCACCTATGGCCTAATCCTGGTTTAGTCTAAGCCCTGTCTGTGAAACCAGGGCCCGTGTTCACAAAACATTTAAAGATTATTCTAAGAGTTCTCCTAAATAGCAGTAAAAGTTTTTAGCTAAGAGTTTTCTCTTAAAACCTGTTCACAAAGCTGCGGAGACAAACTTTTACTAAGAAATAGAGAGAAGTCTTAAGCTAAGAGTAAGGGGGCGGGGTTGACCTCGTTGCTATGGATGATGTCAGCATGCTTACTAACTATGCACACAGCGATTAGCTGATCGTCTCTGTCAGAGATTTATACATAGACATATTGAAGAGCGCAATAGTATGTTGCCATATTCAAATAAAGGTTTAAAAATAAAACTGCTAATTGCCACATTCAAATAAAGATTTTAAAATGCAGGATATGTGTCACTAATTAAACAAGTATATGTTCAGCTTATTGTCAGCCTCTTACATGTATGC